TGCTCCTCCACAAGCCCCTCCTGCTCCTTCACAACCACAAACCTACTATGCTCCTCCAGAACTACGAGCCTACCCTGCTGATCCTTCACCACAAGTCTACGTTCCTCCTGCTGCACAACCTTACGGTTCTCCTTCACAAAGCAGCACTGTTGCAGGTACTGCTCAACAACCTTTGCATTTCCTTGCTCAATCACCTGCCACCGACACAGTGAGTATGAGACAGATTCCCTTGCAGGCCTGTTCATATGGAAGTGGTAGAAGGTTCTGCTGGCCCCAAATATCGAAAATATTCTTTCCTTACATTCACAGAGACCAAAGACAAAACCTGGAATTATTGTTTCCCCCCCTCCCCAATTGTCACAGATGCATCCTGCCTATGCAGGTAGTCCTTAACGTAGGACCATAATTGAGCATGGAATTAAAGTTGTGATTTATGCCAGTCATTCATCATGTGATCATGCCTGATTTGATGCTGCCTTTTTTGCAGCAATTGTTAACCAAATGCAACAGTCACAAAGCACATGTTCAGGTTGCAAACACTGCAGTTGTTCAAGTGAACACGTTGTTTGCAAGGGGCTCTTTTTTTGCCAGAAACTTGAAATAAACCCGCTTCTAGCAAAATTGTTGTAAAACAGGTTCATGTGGCTACGAGATGTTGCAAACGGTCATGGTTGCTGGCCATCTAAAATGTAAGGATGTGACTGTGGGGCCGGGAGAAAATGGCCATTGGAACTTTGGATCTAGGTCCTATGTATTTTTTGAGATTCAATGCTATTTACTGGTACTACATTGAGGATTACCTGTAGGGAAAGATTTGTTTATTGGTCTGCATCTTACCACAGTTTTACATAGCTGTGACTTCACGATGGCATATTCTCTTAAAAAATATGCCCCTGTTTCATGGTTTTAATTCTCTGGTGTATTTTATGTCATGGTTCTGACAGATGAAACTCTTCAAAAGAACTTTGCGGCATTGTTTACCTTAAAGAATCTTTATTTTGAGTAGCATAATATCGGCACTGCATAATCAAAGCCAAAAACACAATTCCCTCCTCCAATTAACCGTCATAAATCACATTCCCCAATTAGCTTGAAGCGTGGGCCTCCTCTCCAGTTCTCCAGTCCGCCAATTCCTTATCAGCTCTGGTTACAATAACCTTGTTTCTCACGCTAGGTTTAGTGTTGTTATGTCTAGCTGGACTCTCGTTCACATCCCCCCTCCCAGCATCATCTAACTCTAAAAGCAAAAGGTAAAAGATGGCTACATTTCCATCTATTGTCAATGCAAAAACATTCGGTATTAGCAGCGTTGACATTTTATCTGAATTTTGTATAACCAGATATGTGTCATGTGACTGAATACAATTTTAGTTGCTCTAGGACAATAATTCTCAACCTTTGCAACTTTAAGATGTATAGACTTCAACTCCCAGCTTCTCCCAGAATTCCCCAGCCACATGGCTGGCTGGGGAATTTTGGGAGTTGAGGTCCATACATCTTAAAGTTGCCAAGGTGAGTAATGCTGCTCTAGAAAGATCCTAGATATGAGAGTTACAGTGATTTGGACTGTCCAGCTTCCCTCTCCTCTTATTTAGTAATTTCAACCATTTTTTGACTTCTTCATTGGACCACAGCTATGGTTCTCCATAGGATCTAGAACCACAGTCATACTAGATCCTGAATCTTGTTCAGCCTAGCGCAGCTAATCATTCATAAGGGCTTTTCCTGCCAGAGCAGGGAGGTTGGAAGCATCTCTTTGCTGGAAGGAAGTTGGGGAAGGCTGGAGATGCAGATCTGCCTCTCTCAACAGCCCCCAAATCCAAACTCTTGCGGAAGACTAAATTTCCCAGCGTTTTCTATGCATTCAGCTCCCTTCATGCATTTACGTCCTTCAGAGTTGTGATAAGCCTGTCCCTCTTTAAAGCTACACTTGGTGGTTTGTTATTTATGGGAGCCCAGATGGAATCATTTGGGGATAGTCCCAGCTCTTAGAATGTGCAGTGGAAATCTTTTGTACTGGTAAATGTTTGGGATGCAAGTTCCAGGCAGCTCCAGGAAGTAAATGCTGGTGGGAACTGTAATCCACCACTGTAGGAGGGCAGAAAGAGACGTGTCCTGGGACAGGGGGAAACTCATGTCACCCATCTCTGCAGGACAACCTCTGGGAGGAGATGCACTCATGGGCTTTAATATGGTTGGTGGGTTGTTGTTGTTTTTAACGAGGAATGTAGGAAACAAATCAGACCAGTGGCTGTATCTTCAATGTTTCTTCCGTTTTTTTTTCCCCTGTTCTACAGCCACAGCCTAACAATGCGAATCCACCTAATTTGGTCACAAATAGCTTCCCTGGTTCAGTTTCCCAACAACGTTTCCCTGCACAATCTTTGCCTGCTGCCCAAGTACAAGCTGTTCCCTCTGCTTTGGATAGTCCTCAATATTCTGCTGGTGGATTTCCCCCTGCTTCTGATTACTTTGCACAAGTTGCCTCAGCTCCCTTTCTACAGTCTGCCTCGGGTGCCTTTCCACAATCTGGCTCTGCTACCTTAGTTTCACCCAATGCTCAGCCCTCTGGTGCATCTGCACCGTCTTTGTCTGCATCTGGAACACCTGGTGCCTTTGCACAACCCCCTTCTGCTTCCTCAGTTCCATCCAGAGCTCAGCCCTCTGGTGCACCTGGATTGTCTTTGGCTGCATCTGGAACATCTGGTGCCTCTGCACAACCCCCTTCTGCTTCCTCAGTTCCATCCAGAGCTCAGCCCTCTGGTGCATCTGAATTGTCTTTGGCTGCATCTGGAAGACCTGGTGCCTCTGCACAACCCCCTTCTGCTTCCTCAGTTCCATCCAGAGCTCAGCCCTCTGGTGCATCTGAATTGTCTTTGGCTGCATCTGGAAGACCTGGTGC